CATAGTAATTAAGTTCTTCATTAATATTACTATGATGCCTATCCCATACACATTTAATGTATTTGATATTTGTCACATCAGAGACCAGTTCCCCACCATTAGTGCTGTGTATGGAAAAGCTTGTGGAATGTCGGCCTGTGTATATTATCTATGTTGTGATTGGTGTATATGATTTATAAACTTCATTCTCATCTAATTTCAGGTGACTTACCAGCATGGAATTATTGCACTATAGTCTCAATTTGAGGTATAGGATGCGGAGTGCATTCCATTCATGCGAAAAAAAATTGGTGTCTGATCCCTCTGTCACCCTGACATATTCACTACTCCCTCAACTTAAGTGGACAGACTTCAAACTGGACGAAGGCTTAAAAGCAAGGCATGCCTGAGATTTTGTAGGTCTCCAATGACAGGTAAGCAATTGCCAACACTTTAGGTTTCAAAATTCTTTATTCATCAAAAAATATTCATGCATATAGCATATAGATATTTAGATCAATAAAAGTAGGAATTGTAAACCTAAAATAAAACCAAATATAGATTACACTCACTACAACATCTAAATCTAAGTTTCTAAACCTACCCAAGCATACAAGTACCAAACTTAATTAATATTCACAAATCCACATTCCTTATACTGTAGAAACCTATATACTATGCCTTCAAATTAAACAGCAAATAAAGAATCCCACACTGGTAATTCGCTTGCAGTATAATTTAAAATTACAAGAAATGTTTTATTACACCTGCATTTTACTATTTATATAGCAATTAATTAATTAATTAATTAATTAATTAGAGACCTGTACAGTATACTGTTCAGTATGGAATGACAATTGAGATCACTATTAAAAGCAATACAATTATACCACATATTTAAGATTCTAAAAAGTAGTAATATTCAAACAAAGAAAAAAAAACCTTAAAAAATTAATAAGTATGGCTGTATTCGACTGGTCATTCTTTGTTAAACCACGCACACCTGCGTAGCGGTAAAATGCTACTCAAAAAAGACGACCAGTCGTATAGATAACTTGTAAATACTCGACAAAACAAAATGGCTGTATAGTTACCGCGATACACGTTGCGTAATCAAGATTGCTTCAACTTGTAGTAGTATGGGTTTTTCACAAAAAAAAAAATTTCATCCAGTTTCTGAATTCTGTAAGCCTACAATTATTTTTGACTCCATGTGGGTAAATATTATAATTTTTATTTTATGAAATTTGATACAAGTTATTAAATGCAAATGTTGTTTATAAACTAACCAGTCGGCCATGTTTTTTTTGGTCACATGGATAACGCTGATTAACGCACTCTGGTTTACATTAATTTTCATTGTCAACGAAGTCTATTTAACGAACCAGTCGAATGAAAATAATACGCAACGAAAATTCATACTTAACGAAATGAACCAGTTGAATAAGCCCATACATACGTTGTTTATCACACACTGAGGTTAGGCCTAAGCAAAATTCTTGTGTTTTCCACACCCGAACAAACCAAAATTCACAAAAATCCTAATTCAGCTTATATAATTCCCATTGCTGGTTACAATCTTTTATTTGAAATATTTGAAACGGATTTCAACGAGTAAACAAACAAAGCCAGGGTACAAATCTAAACTGTAAATAAATAGGGTACACAATACTGCTCAAGATCTTATCTAGAATGTTCAGTAAATTAGATTGATAAATTCTTTATGTAATTAAATTGTGGCATTGGCAAGCAAGTTAAACAATGAAAGCAATCTACAACTGAATTTGCCTAGTAATATAGTCTTTGAGAAAATCATATATGCTCAAAATTTCTTTTAGCGTAAATCATAATTTTTTCAAAAAATAACCTAGTTTAAAATAATAAGTGTAAATGTGAATGCATTTTTTTATGAATACTGCATTTAATAGGCAGTGATTGGAGTTTTAACATTTTGGTCATTAATCAACTTATGTATTTTAATATTATATTTATTTTTAATTCATATCGTAAGAATTTAATTTACATTACAAATTTAACTGTTAAAAATTAGGTTAACTCAATTGTAACAGGTTAATACAATTAAAATTTAATTTCTAAGAAAATATATCATCATTTTATGACTTTGTGCCAAAACCCTTTAGTAAAGGGAACAATTTCACATTTATTTAATTGGTGTTCCTTAAACAGGGCTCTGCTGTACTTTTGTTTCACACTATTTTCAAGCCTATAGTTCCATTTGGTATAGCAACAACATTTTTTAAATACATTTATTTGCGATAATTTTTTTCTATAATGTACGATAAAAGTATGTTCCATGTTACTAATATTATTTTAATACATATTTTGATATTTTCATTGTTAAACTTCAATTTTGTATATACTCCTTTGTGCCTGCCAATATTGTAATTATAAATTAGCATAATGATTATCTGTGTTTGTATTTATATATATATATATATATATCAAGGTATCTTTATTTTTTTTTAAATCAAAATCAAAATATCATCGCAGCACAAAGCTGAATTGCGATAAAATGTCATCAAAGTATGAAAAATAGTCTTAAAATTACAGGACAAACACAAATTTACACCACAGAATCCAAAAATCACACACAAATGACCAAATTAAACAAGATTATGAAACATCAAAAAGGAATTTAAAAACCACAAACATAGGTCTTTAGTTAAATTTTTTGATTTATATGTATTATTTTATAGCATATTTTAATGTTTTTTTTTTTAAATTGTATTGTCTTTGTTGGCACTGAGGTTTGGTTAGCACATCACCTGATAGCAGTTTTTTAACTTGTGGTTTCCCTGGCTCCTTCAACCCTTTTTTTTGTCAAGAGATTGAAAATAAATATATGAAATTGCAATTAAAGAGAAATTTGATTTGAACATAGAATAATAACATTCAATTAATGATTCCAGATCACAATGATTGGTATCGATTTCAAATTTTATATTACAAGCGCCAGGTGGGATTTTCATTATATCAAGATGTCGCCTTGAGTACTACTGCAGTAGATTTGTGCACCTTTATGTCTTATTACAGGTCTCCCTCTAATTAAAGGCTCCTCCAATTAAAGACCATTGTTCTGTGGTCCCATATTAACAAATGTCTTTTATCTTTATTAGTATTAATCTAATTAGAGACAAGACCATGGAAACCACAGTCCCAAAAGTGGTCTTTAATAGGAGGGATATTATTTGCAAGAAGAAAAGTTTCAACAGAAACATAGAAAATCTCTTTGATTTGTCTATTTTGAGAATGATTTCAAGTTTTGTATAGTTCCTTCATTAATATTTAATTTAACATTGCAAGATTCAAAGATTGAGTAATAGAATATTAAAGTAATAATATATCTCGGTATTTCTTTATTCAAAACCACAAAACAACAACAATTTCATAAAATATGGCAGCTCATTAATGCGTACGAATTAAGAGTTGAATTACATTTCATGATTACAAAGTAAAAAAAAAAAATTAATGAAAAAAAACTTGAATCCATCACGGAAACATTTTTATCTATTATCTGCTTTTTGAATCTTACAATTTGCAGTGCCAGCATGAATAAAACTCCAATTTTAAATGAACAATTATTTACATTATGTTGTTATTTAAATTTTATCAAGTATTTAATTTCTTCATTTGGAGATAATAAAGTTATTCATAATTCCGATTCTGATATGTAATAGTTTCCTATTGTAATTGCTTTTTTTTAAAAGTGAAAAATGACTATTATGATAAAGATGGATTAAAAATGAATGAACTAATAATTATTGTATTTTTTATGCCATTTAATACTCAAATATTTTAACATTATTTTCCCCATGATTTGCTACCGCTACTCTTCTTGGTCTGTTGGAGATTACTGTGATTCCTAATGGAATATATAATCCATCATCTTTATGATCTATTCGTTTTATGAAGACACCATTTTTGTCAAATAATTGTAGTTTATGATTACTTGAAACTATTAAGTTGTCATCCATATCCATGGTTACAGAATGAGGACACATAACTTTACCATCTTCCTCCCCACAACCTACTATACAAACTCTCATGAACTTACCATTTGCATCAAACATTTGTATTCTGTTATTTCCAAAGTCAGCAACAATCACATGACCATCCTTAGTTAAAGTGACATCTTGTGGTTCCTTTAATTGACCTATTCCACTACCTTGTGAACCTATTTTACCCAGCAGGCGACCTTTATCAACATTGAATTTATACACACAGTGAGCTTCACAATCTGCTACATACAGGACTCTTGATTTCTCTTCAACTGTCAAACCAAATGGATATTGCAAATCTTTACTATTAATGTTAAGTATACATTGATTAGTATCATCATACTTAAATATAATTCTTCTTTGGAATGCACTATATAGCATGCAACCATCACCCATACGATGCATTCCCGCTGTGATTACATTAGTATGTATTTTTTTTGAATTAAAGTCTACAAAAGAGTAATTCAAAATTACTGAAGCAATTAATGAACCTGATTGATGGAATTTCAATATTTCTTCACTATTACTTGATACTAATATGCATCCATCTGTACCTAATGCTACATCTGTCACTTTCTCAAATTTTTTATGTTCTTTATAATCTGATATGTTCCCAATGGTATGAACAAGTCCCTCTGTTTCCACCTTGATATTCACTGGAGATCCTTTGATGTGTGCAGCTCCAGCAGTTATCTTCATTTGCCAATCTCCTTCCACATTGTATCTACCTGATATTTTGTACTCTCCACTTCCCTGATATTCTATCTGAGTGGGAGATTCTTCTCCTGATGAACTTATAATTGTTGCGGCTAATTGGCGTGGATCCGTCTCTGCTAGAGTTGATACTTTCACTACAATATTATTTGGTTCTACTTTTGTGACTGTAATTGCTCCATCATCTTCAGCAACCTCGTATATCAATCTATCAGCAGTTGTGATTTTACCAATTCCCTCTGTATTCATCAACTCATCCAAGTTTGTATATGGAATAAAATTTGGTGTACTAATTGTTTTATGGAATGATTTATCAAAATCTGTTCCTAGAACATTGATAGTTGTATTATGTGATCTAAGATTTTCTATTTCTTCAGGTTTGTTCATAATTGTATTGGTTAAGACTATCAGATTTTTTAATTGCATCATCTTTGAATCGATATCGTTAAATTCACTATCAATATTTTCTTTCTCTTCTTTGTACATACTTTCAAGTTCTGACATTAATTGTTTGCTTTTATCTCGAACTTTCATGATAAGATTCTTTTCCTGAATTTCGATGGCTGATCTACATAACTTTAGTTGCGATTCGAATTCTGATACATTTTTAGTTATGGTTTCCAATTTTTTTGTTAATCTGTCTTCAAATTCATGAGCTAACTTGACAACTTCATTTGCTTCTTTGTTAAAATTGTCTACAGCAGTTGACATTGGAATCACTTTATGTTTTTGAAGACAGTTAAAAATGTGATCACATTGCTTACATGCTGATTTGTTGCAAGTGGTGCAGTAAAATTCAAGTGGTGCATTGCAGTGAACTTGGCAATTGGTTGGTTTGCCATCTTGTTCCTTCATGTTCAGTTTGTAAAGTGGATGATCCTTTGTGGAAGGTAGTATCTTGTGTTGTTTAAAACAATTACCATCACATAGATACAGTTGGCATGTTGAGCAGTGGTATGCTGGTTGATTGTCACAAACAGAGCATTTAGATGGTTTCTGATCCTCTGTTTTTATGACATACTCTAGCAGCTGAGTTATCATTGTGGTTGAAGTGAGCTGTTGTAAATCTTCTTTTGTTAAATCATGCTCTTGTCCGCATGTTGGGCATTTCATCTTCCCATGAGTTTCCACCCACTTCTGGATACACTGTAGACAGTAGGTGTGCATGCATTTCAGTGTTTTTGGTTGGTGAAACCTGTTGAGGCAGATGGCACACTCAAGATCTTTTTTATCCATAAATTGCAATGCTTTGGATACAGACATCTGTAAAGTAATGGATGTACATTTTATAGTGAACTGATTGAGACAAAGAATAAAAGTAACAGTTTGAGGAACACAATTCACAGCAGACATAAATGTCACAAGTTCATCCTTTTAATGATTCCTTATTGCCATGGGTATATCAAGACTATTATCCAGATTATTACAAGATATCACAAGGGACTTTTCTAAAAGTCTTTTCATTGGGCTCCTGGAGATTGGTGGAAACCATAGTAAAGCATCAGTACCACTTGTCCCTTACACAGGTGGCACAGGCAGGAGAGATTTTAAGTGCCAATCCATGTCTATGTATGCTTTCAGATTTTCATATTAATGCACCATTCAGGGGATGGATCCAGAGATGTCCAAAAGGAGAGGCCGAAATTTGGTCCGATCGAGACAACACCGAACTACGGGGTCCGGGGGGCATTCTCCCACAAAATTATTGTGTTCTAGACGCCTGAAAATAACATTTGAGGCATTCTGGGCTTTCGTTTCTTCTTTTTCTTTTTTTTACCTCTCAAAAGGTGGGGGGGTGGGGCCCCCTAAGTCCGCCCCTGCCATCCTTTGGTTTAAGCCAATGGTTCCATGTGCAATATGGCACATGTTAAATAATGCAGTATATCTTCTGAAAAGATTAGGGGATTGTGTCCCAGTGTACTGCCAAATTAACCACTTAAATACCGCAATGGAAATAGGTCTTTGAAAATTTTGAATTTGTGAGTTATGGTGTATTAATACCAAACACTGTATGTTTAATCTAATACACATGTGAATTGGGTCTGTGAGTAGAGATGATGTTTTGTCACATGATTTGAACTCAGAACTCTATTGTAAAGCAAGCGGCTAGTTTCATCACTAAGCTACATCGCCACTACAAATTAAGTAACATTGTTAAAGTTGATGTTGGAGTTAATAAATGAATCAGTATTTTTTATTCCAACATTTTAATTACTTTTAAGAATGATACTGCTAAATTGTTTATGTCTACTGTTATTCTTTGTTGAAATATGTTTTCATACTTAAGATTTCATATTATCAGGTATTCTTATTTATAATGTAATTATCAATTAATAATAATAATTAATTATAATTATTGATTATAATTATAATTATTATAATTATTATAATTATTTTGATTTAAATTATTAATTATAATTCAATTAATATTTATATGTAACTATCAATTTTTTAACTGTTATCAGGTGTTCCTATATTTATAATTTAATTATCAATTAATAATTATTATTATTAATTATTATTATGATTATTATTATTGATTATAATTATTATTATAATCATTAATTATACTTATCAATAGATATTTATAATGTAATTATCAATTTCTTACCTTGATTGACTCTTGACTGGTAGAAATGAAGGTGTACCTTTTGACCTTAAATCAGTTGAATGTGTGTCTTCTGTAAAACTTATTTGCAGGATGAAATTTTCATTGAATTCACTGATTGTGTGAAGAGGTACCAAGTTCAATGCAATGTGCCACAAGGTTTTAGTTCTTGTGCTGGTCTTGTACAGCTTATAATAACTCTAAAATGAAAAACAAGAATTGAAATCATGTTTAGTTGGAAATCCAGGGCAGTGATGATGCCAGAGAATGTCTGATGTCACAGCCAAGACACATACCTATATGTAGGCGAGTTTTATGAACCTGGCCTTTTAGCTAATTCAAAATAGCAGCACACTCTCTTGGGGGCTTTACAAATGTTTTTTCTAGACCGAATATCACAAACACCATAATGATGTGTGATTGCTTATTATTGTAGTAAAGCATAGACAGAAACTGCAGCTATGATCTTGCTAAAAAGTTTATATTAACATTATGTGCCTGACCTACTAACTCTAGCAGCACAATCTCTTTGTGGGGGGGGGGGGGACTTTTATAGACCGAATACACAAACACCATGTCGTGGGATTGCCTATTATTATAGAAATAAAGTGAGCCGGATAAATGTTTATATAAACATTATATGCCTGACCTACTATGACCTACTAATTCTATATTTCAGATAGCACTCTACCTGTTAGTATCATATTCAATAGATGGTGCATAGCATGCTAAATGTACATAAAAAACTTAAAATATACCCACTACACATACCTTGGAGGCTAACCACACTTAAATGGTGTTCGTACACTCAAAATGGCACGCCCTATAAATACTAGTGGGAATTCCCGTTGGCTTCACAGACTAGTTTCTAAGTAAACAGCGCCCTCAAACAAAATTGATTCTATCCTATTCTTTTGACCTACAAAAAATCTACTGTATACTGTTAACCAAGTTTTATCAAGGAGGCATAGGTTGTATTTACTGTAACGTTTATGAGTTTTGGTTGTACTGTAGTTGTAAGCTGGGCCTGTATTTTTGACTTACACTAGTCAACCAGTATAAAACCAAGTTACTAAAGACCATCTGAAATTAAAGAACTTTTATGTGGGACTGAAAGAACACTTACCTTACCTAATTTTTTCTTTTCTTTTCTTAAAAATTATTATAATTATAATTTTTTTTTTTTCTTAAAAAGGCCAAAGCTGCTAAGGACCATGAAAAACCCCTGTTCCAAAAGTAGTCCTTGATGATTTGATTTGATTTATTGGTTATTTTCACAAAAATATATACATACAGTACTCCGGAACACGAATCAAATGAAACAGAACTTATGAAATACATTGTCATAAAATAAGTAACGCGTTCAATAGTAACCTGGTCATTATTTAAATAAAAGGTGTAGCGAGTGTGAAAGGTAGTCAAAATAAGTTGAATAAATTTAGGACATGACCACTTACTGTATATGCAATTAAAAGGCCAGATTGAAAAAAAAGAGGGTATATATATATATATATATATATATGGTATCATATATAATATACGATAGTATTTCTAGCCGTATTGCCAGATTTATCTGGCCGAACGCCCTCTTGAGGCGTAGCATTGTGTA